GCGTGCGTGCGTGCGTGCGTGCGTGGTGCGTGCGTGCGTGCGTGCGTGCGTGCGTGCGTGCGTGTGTGTGTGTGCGTGTGTGTGTGTGTGTGTGGTGTGTGTGTGTGTGTGTGTGTGTGGGTGTGTGTGTGTGTGTGTGTGTGTGTGTGTGTGTGTGTGTGTGTGTGTGTGTGGGTGTGGTGTGTGTTGTGTGTGTGTGTGGTGTGTGTGGTGTGTGTATTGTGTGTGTGTGTGTGTGTATATGAGTATAGTGGATGGAATATACTAGTGCTTTAAATGTGATAATTTAAATTCGAATTTCAATTCATAGTTAACTTCTCAATGGACATTGCACCTGTTTGAATTGCGTAGCCAGCGATGCGCACAATTTTGTTTTTATTGTTTCTACGGAGCTACAGGAGCTGATGAATGAAGAGATAACAATTCAGTGGACTCTGAAAACAGCTGCGTGCCGTCGACTATCAGCAAGGTCGTTTCCATCCCAGAAAGCTTCGAACCGTGTTTTTTTTGTCAAGCCGACAAATTTGTGTCAGTCGGTGGAATATAAGAAAAAGTAATAATGTTGTCTTAACACCAATTTTACGACCTGGCTCCTTGACCGCCACTTGGTTGCTCCAGTGTCCAGCGGAGATTGAGCGCCAATCCGTCCAAAGCGATGCCATGCCGGTACCATGACATGCAATGTTTGATCGCATTTCTCGGGTCTTCATTCCCTAAGTGTTTCCAGTGTGCCTTCATATCATGCCAAATTCTTCTTGGGCTTGTGCAATGATTCAGGGGTTCTAGGAGCATCAGGTTAACTCGTAGGCAGTTTGTGGTTTTCGCAAACAACTTATGACGCTTCGGCCTCTTGTCTTGATAGTTGGGAATCACATATTTTCCAGCAGTGAACAGGTGAACTGTAATTTGGCTCAATTATTTTTTAAAACAGCAGCAATTCAACACATCATTAGTATTGACCGTCTGACGCTAGTGACATACCACTTTGCACGTGAATTGACCCGAACAAGCACTTTGATTTCGATGGTGGCCTCTGCAGTCTAGCCCAGGTCAGCGTACCTATTGCGATGATATTGTTGGACTGGATGCAAACATCCGCAGGTATAGATGAACACGCAACTGTTGAAATTAGTATGAACCAATGCATTGAAAAATTGAAGCGTTTCTGACTGTTACGGTTCAACATTGATATGTTTTTACATGCTGTACATCATGGCCTTTATTAAGTGCCGCAGAATGTGTGCTGTTGGCCCCAACCCTCACAGTATGTGGCGTGTTGGTCAGTGAATAAGAGACCTCAAAGCAACATTTTCATTGCAACACATTGAAAAGACAAAGTGAACCCGCGATGCTATCTGGGTATTAATTCGGATCTAAAGCAAGCATATCTAGAGTAGCACAAATGGTTAGCGGGTTTCAAAAGGGGGCACAGCTCCACTTACTTGCCACACGTCGTATATCTTTAAAATTGCTAACACAACCGCTCCGAGCAAATTTGTACAATGTCATGTCCAGACATCTAGGTCCAGTGTATCCAGCGCAGCGCGTGAGTAGCCCTGATTAGAAAAGCTGACAGCCATTAAACACGCTGGCCTAGCAATCGGACCTCAGCCACGACCACGCGCCCGGACCGTGACGTGAGGTGACCGGGCACTGCAAGAGGCGGCGACCCGTGCGTGTTACCAGGCCGACCAGCCCAGCTATCTGTCAGGGTGACTAACTGCCGTTCTGGCACCCCGTGACTTCAGCCCCCCCCCCCCAGCCCCCCATCACCACCTCCCTGCCTGCCTCAGACCCCCGCGTTCTCACATCGACGGGCAGTTGCCATAGCGACAGCACCACCGCGTGTTCAGAAAACGCGCGACAGCAAATTTAGTTCTTCGGATCTGGGCTAGCAGCGCACCAGGCGAGGCTAGACCCATGGCCAACTCTGGACTGTTGAAATCCATGACTGCGGAAGTATGCTACCGTTGACAGAACTTTATCCCCCGACTAGAAGTCATCAATCTAGATAGATTTCAAACAGCTGTTGATCGACCCCGTACCACTGGAGGGGTCACCATGGCAACGGTGTCCTGTGGTGACCTGTTTGTAGCAGCGCGAGTGTTTGCCTAGCAAGCCTCAGTACATACAAGAGTGATACACACTGTCACGGCCTCCAGCTTCCACTTCACAAACACTAGCCAGCTGAGCATGTGGAGAATAGGCCAGCGGTGGGGGGGGGGGGGGGGGCAGACCAGTGACTCACCACCGGTGGGTGTCACGTGCTAATCTTAGCCGAGTGCGTAGGCATTGCGTGGAACAATCGATGCAAATCTACTTAGATCATCCGCCCATGTGGAATACGTTCGACCCTGGAGTACACTTGACACTGTCTGGAGGCCCGCAGAGAGTGTGGTAGAGCGGCAGGACACTCACATGTATATATGCTTAAAAGGCATTTGAACGCCTTATGCGCACTAGATTTTGGCTTTTATCTCGGACGCCTCCAAAGTGCGATTTTCATGCCAATCAACATTTTCTTTCTGAGCCTCACATGTAGCACAACTCTGCTCCCGACATCCCCTAAGTCAGCAAATTTCACATCGTTCACCGAGTGACTCAAGGAATTAGATGACAAATGGTTTATTGAGCGGGCATGTAAAGCCCCCTGTTTCCGGACATAGCATACAACTTTGCACTTATTGCGATGAATACGATATATCACGCTGCTTGTTTGACACGCAATTGTTTCCGTCATCCGTACGCGAAATTTAGGTCTTTTTACCAAAACATGTCATTGACAGATGTGTCCACACACGACACAGTTTTTTCATACACTTGTCTGCTCCTTCACTGCTCGACTACATTTTTTTTCCGTGTACCATCTCGTCCTTAATGCTTATCCACTTCGATAAGACATCGCGCATCTGCCTTTGGGTGCACCATTTCAGTGGATGCGGTAGTTCAAAACGTGTTGATTTTTCCTAAGTTTTTGCCTAGCGTTGGGTACATAGCACGAGCACGTTATAATGAGTGGCGTCCAGGTTAACATTTTGGTGTTCTTGCCCTAATTACCACTTCCCAAAAGTTCCTCTCGCGCAAATTTGTCGAGGATTATAAAACTGTTGTCATTAGCTAGAATTCTGATTGCGGGATATACATACTTCAAATTGGACAGGCCTGGTAACCCTTAAAAAGAACAAAAACCACAGGAAGAGAAGATAGAGAGAGAGAGAGAGAGAGAGAGAGATAGAGAGAGATAGAGCACAGAGAAACACAGAGAGAGAGAGAGGCACAGAGAGAGAGAGAGAGAGAGAGAGAGAGATATATATATATATACAGATACACACATATATATAGATACACAACATAGAGAGATATACTAGATATATATAATATAATATATTTTATATATACATATACACATATATATATATCATATATATATATATATATATATATATATATATATATATATATATATAAATGCATTATACGTAGGATGTCTCGTAATAACCAGACGTTCACATTCCGATGCCCCAGTGCTGTACATTTGACCGTGCCGCCGAGCCCAGGCGCGTCAGCTGTGCGGTCAGACGGCTCGTGCGGCGCTGCCACGGCCAACGCTCGGTGGGCGGTCCTCCAAGAGTCGAGCACCGTCTTGGCGCCCGCAGTTTTCTTGACAAATCCCAAAACCGAGCCAGTTCTACGCGCGCGCCTGTTTAAAAGTGGCTCGAACTGGCCCGTTAGATAATGACAATCATGGACCGATTTGTGAGCCAGCAGATCATCATTCTTAACCCAACACTTCTTAACCCTCTTTTTAAAAAAGCGCAGAGTAAGGATGGTGCAAGCATATCACGGATTCGTGATCGTTTATTACTTCCTAGGAGTTAGTGGTGAGCGTATTCTCAGTGTTGAACGCATTCTCAGTGGCTTAACAGCATGATTTTGGTAATCCGTCTACGGTGTCTATGACATCGCCTCATATCGAAGGACGCTTGGGCCTCTCTACAGAACAGGCTAAGACTGGCATAGGTTAGAAAGATCAGTCCCCTCCGTTTACGTTTGTAACGCATATGACATCCTGGTAGGCGTAAATGGCGTGCTTATTTTGTTTTAATATACGACTCTTTTGTTCTGAAAAGGAAGGTCATTTACTGTTTGGGACTAAAAATGAAGGATGATGACAGAAACTTCATGTGATGGTAAGAACTTAACAATGCTGAAGGTGCAAACTCAAAACTTCACCGCATCATCATTGATTACGGTGAGTAAACACAAAGATCTTAAATTTTAATGGGTTCAATACTTTTGCCCATCACACACATTGTACCCACCTACGCATCCAGAATTTGCACCTCAATGAAACAGCATCCACAGACACACATATACGATCATATGCACGGATTTCTTAGCTATCTCAACTACAAAGATCCGCCAAAAAACATCACCACATGCATGCATGCCTCGCGGGCCGAGGTTGTTTTTCTGGATTAGAGCCCTTCCGACCAGAAATGATCATTTCAGGGCTATGGGATGAAGGAAAATGGTTAACGGTGGGGCAGACTTGCATTCTCCTGGGGGGCCAACCGCCGTGCTTTAACCCGCACATGCGCGCTGGATCCAGTCGAGGTCCACCTTCCCACGGGGCTCTCAGCCCATTCGTGACTGACGCCTGCAGCCTGCCCCAGACAAGCGGAGTGCCGCGAGGATGCAGGATGAAGCGAGGTACAGGATAAGAGGTACGGATGCCGAGTGCCGAACATCAGTTCCCAACTCTATCGCCAACTCTATTCCCAACTCTATCTAATCTAACGCCAACTCACACACCTGCGCCACCCACAGCCCAGAACTGCCTTTAAGAGCAGCCGCCGCCATGACAACTCAGGGATCATTTGAGAACAAGCCTGACAAAACCCCGTATCGTGTCTTTCCGGCCGCTACCGGCGGGTCTGGCCGCGGGCGCCGGCGCCGCTGACCTTGAGAGCCTCGGGTGACGACACTCCTGTTGCCGAGCAGGACGCAGCCGCTGAGATGCAGGGACCGCCAGGAGGCGCCCAGTAACAGGTGCTCACCAGCGTGAGCCCGCAGCAGCGCGATCTGTCCGAGAACGAACCACTGGGTCACGAGCGCTGACACCTCACTGACGGCCGGGTCACGCCGCCCGGGGGCAGACCAGCGGGTCATAGGCGGTCTGGTAGCATACACGGGGGGGGGGGACAGGTCAGACCGCCTGGGGGCAGACCAGCGGGTCATGGGCGGTCTGGTGGCATACATGGGGGGGGGGACAGGAGGTCAGGCCGTAAGGTCTGACAATGCGTTCGTTCCGGCGTTGGTGTCTGCTGGGGCATACGGTGGGATCGCGCGGTTTCGCAGGCATGATTTCGATTGGACAAACATAGACCTTAACCGTGAGATCACAGTACCTGGTGCGACCTGTCAGGCTCGATCGGGGTGGGACGGGACTGGGCTGACTGGGGCTATGAATTGGGTCTCCACTCGCAACGGATCCATTGTAAGCATGAGACCGACCCTTCCCAGGTAAGTCAGTGATTTGCGTCTATGTCATCTTCGATCCCAGACATGCGGGCCAGCAGAATATTGCAGCAAACTTCATAGAGCAGAAGTGGAAATTGGAAACCACTGACAGACTGTCAAGCTCCAAGGTCGTCTGGAATGAGAGGAGGAAGTACCACGCCGATGTCCTTTGTCATGAAATACACGACTGACATGCGAAGTTATATCAAGGCGTCCTCTAACCCCCCCCCCCTTCTATACCTTTCTCCGCCCATTTCCACGTAGACGGAGCATGCCAAGCTTATCCAATGATGATATGTGATACTCGTCTTTGATGCCACCAGCGCAATGAAACCGCAACGAACGAAATCGCACAGCTATCCTTGCGCAAACTCTCGTCCTTCCGCAACATCGTTCCGCGGCATCAATATCCCCTTCAGTTAGCACAATATTAAAGGAAGTGCTCCACATGTGTATGGGGATTTGAACTGAAACAGCCATCGTGAACACCATTTGGTGCAGTTCATAGCGCTTCTCAGGATCGAAACCAAAAAATGTCATTTTTAAAGATCGGTTGGGGTGGGGGGCTGAGCAGAAAAGGTTGACCTAATCTACTCCCAAAACATTATTTCTCCCGGATTTCGGCACTTGAATTTACGTTCTGGATTTTAGACTCAAAAAAGAAGATATTTAGTAGATTCAAAATTGTTTTCCCCGGGGAATGACTCCCCATTTTAAGTTAAAGTGAGCTGCCTTTTTGTGAAAAGCTTAAAATGCGGCGTAACTCACTGAAAAACTCCCAGTAATCTTAATAAAGAAACGCTGATGACTGTTTCACGCTTCTTATGCTGAGTATTTCAAGGTTACCCAGGCATCCGTGACGCAAAAATAACGTCATTAAAATCGTGCCATCCTATTGGCCATGTTGCGATCAAGGCCAGCAAAACAACTGTCGATGCGTTCATATCTGGCGTTCGTGAGCACGATTTCCAGATAAAACGACTTCAATTGGCTCTCACTCAATGTCGTGCAATGTACGATGACGCAATTAAGCAATGACGTGTTGTCATAAGTGATGCTATTTCATCATATCTGATGCTTACTTCAATACATCTACACGTGGAACATTTCCTTTAAGGATTGACGGAGCCCACCGCGCACGTGTCGCTGACGTCTTCAGTATCTGCGGCCTCGGCGCCAGACGCTGCGGGTCTGCTTGGCCTGAATCAGCGCCGAGTGCCGTCCGCCTGCAGCGTCACACCGACACCAGCGGGGGGGGGGGGGGGGGGGCGCGTCATCGCCCAGACACGTGCTGCTGCCTCAGAACGCACTCACGTGACCGGCCGACACCACGGTCTGCCCACGCTGGGCGTGGCGGTAATCACGCGGGCCTTACAGCCGGCCCGAGTAAACAGACCTGCGGCGACTCGACGGCATCCACGCGCGGGGCGGGCGGTCGTGCCGACTGCCCCGCCGGGAATGGGGCCGACTGCCCCGCCGGGAACGGGGCTGTCGGGCCACGAGCACCGCCCGCATCGGGCCCGAGCGCAGCGCTGCGGCCCGGTGAGGGGCCCACCGTCGACGATTAAGTGGAAGGAAGTGACCTCAGTCCGGCGCTCCGCCTTGGAGTATCGTACCGGACGTCCGCGCCGGTCGACGGCCGGCCGGGCCCGCCGCCCTTCTTCGGTCGGCATTCGCACGGGAAGGGATGACTGGCAGACGCCGCCGGGTCGGGCCGCTCGTCGGCCAAGGTCGCGGGCTATCGTTCGAGGGATGCACCCGCTTCAAGAGCAGCACCGAGCTTCATCAGCTGAGTTGATGTCCGTCAGAACGTTTGTCACACAAACATGGTAGGAACCGCTGATTAAATAGGGTAGGGGATAAGCATGAGTTGAAAGACGAAATAATTTATGCCATGAAGAAGCATTATGTGCCTGTGCATATATGCATGGTGTCGGTCGAGGTTTTCCAACTCGCACCTCAAGGAAATTGAAGCGAATCCACTGCAAATCCGAGCCCTACACTAATGCCCTGACAATGCAGTTTCTTGACAGAGTCATTCATCCTGCAAACGAATCTTCCGCAGCCCCAGGAGGCCGTTAGGAAAGCGGAGTATTAGAAAAACTGGGCATCCAACCTCAGCCCTAGGAAATCTGAGTCACCCAGCGCCAGCTCCAAGAACGCGAGGACCCCTCTGGCTGACTCTGACCTCCGACCTCTGACCTCCGACCTCTGACCTCTGACCTCTGACTGACCTCTGACTCCTCGAACATCGGGCGCGGGCTCATGCAAGCTAAGATCCTCCCTATCTGGCCATCAAACTGTGAGCTTCAGAATCGTGGAAATCCTTCTCACCTGGTCTTCAAACTTTCGTTCCGGGCTGTATTCTCGCGGTCATCTAGCATGGTTTCCAGGGAGGCGGAGATCCTTCCCACCTGGTTATCAAGCGTTAACTCGAGGGCCCTCATCGCCTTGACACAGACGTCAGCCCCAGCAAGACTCAACTCCTCATCACCTGACCATTCAGTGTCTGCTGCAAGAAAACAAAGCTCTTCCTCACCTGGCCATCCATCGCCTGCTACAGGACGGTGAGATCCTCCTCACTTGACCTCACATTTCAGTGAGAGAGAACGTCCCCCTCACCTGGTCATCCAGCGTCAGCTCCAGGAAGGCAGGGATGCACTTGGCCCACTCCACCAGGATCAGCAGCTGCTGCCGCATTGAGTCGCAGACGTCGGCGTGCGTGGCAATTTGTTTGTCGCTGATGTCCGTCTCCCGACAGCCGGCCTGCAGCAGTCGGCGAGGGTTAGATGCCGCCCCGTCCAGCTTGACCGTAGGCGGCGCAGAAGGTCGCCATTAGACAAGCACCACGCCAGACGGGCGCTTGTCTGATGTCCGAACCGAGCTGACTGAGTCCAACTGATCTTAAGTGCATACAAACCTGCAGTCTTTGCAAGTGTTAGTATGAATTCTTTGCGACAAGTTACAGAACAATTTTTGCAGGTGGTTAGGCAGCAAAAACAGGTTTTGTTTGATTTGCTGGGTTGCAAGTCTGCTTTCGCAGATTCGTTGAGGCTCGTTTTATTGGTTGTGAACTTCCGTGGGTGGGATCCGTCCAGCTGCTCCCCCAATCTGTTGGTAATCATCAACGGGCCCCAACAAGCTAGACGTCGATTCATTTGTACCCACCACGCGATTGCCAAACTGGATTCGGTTGTCGACCCTTGGAGCTACTCGAGCGAGATTCCTTGTCATTTGCATTACAACGGGGCGGTCAGTGAGGGACGAACTCACCCGCGTGGGTCGATCTGGCGCGACATGCGGTTGTGGTCATTATGGACGAACTCAACCCGCGTGGGGTCGATCTGGCGCGACATGCGGGGTTGGTCATTATGGACGAACTCTGCCGCGTGGGGTCGATCTGGCGCGAACATGCGGGGTGGTCATTATGGACGAAACTCAGCCGCGTGGGGTCGATATGGCGCGACATGCGGGTGTCATTATGGGACGAACTCACCCGCGTGGGTCGATCTGGCGCGACATGCGGGGTGGTCATTATGGACGAACTCACCCACGTGGGGTCGATCTGGCGTGACATGCGGGGTGGTTCATTATGGACGAACTCACCCACGTGGGGTCGATCTGGCGCGGACATTACGCTCAGCGTTGAGCAGCACTTGCACGGACAGCGCGCTATGAGACGAGTCTTCGAAACTCGGCCGACGGGCGCTGATTCGGTCCCGCTCGTTCTGCACGGCTGTGGGACGGCGGGGACGGGTCAGAAGGGCGTGAGACTGGATCAAAGTGGGACACGATTGGGCTCAGAGGAGGAGCGTGCGGTGGCGCAGCGGGACTGGGTCTTTTACCCATGCACCATCCGAGGCCTGGGCATAAAAGCCACGTGTTCGTGATGAATGGCGTTGCGCCGGCCGTCCTGGTCCTGGCTCCCCCAAACTGGTCGGCCAGTCTGGCCCCGGTTCTCCCAGACTGGTCGAGCAGTCTGGCCCCGGCTCTCCCAGACTGGTCGGGCAGTCTGGCCCCGGCTCTCCCAGACTGGTCGGCCAGTCTGACTGGCCCCGGCTCTCCAGAACTGGTCGGCCAGTCTGGCCCCGGCCCCTCCCAGACTGGTTGGCCACCCTGGTCCCGGTCGTGGTCTGACACCGAAGCGAGAGCATCCGCGATGCCGCGCGTTGCAGGCGATCGGGCGCCTATCTGTGGGTGTGTGACGTCATTTAAGCGCGCATCACCAGCGCTCGTCCCGTTCAGACCATCTGTATCCGGCTGCAAGATAAGTCAGGGTGGCTCTGGAACCCACGGCCAGCTGCGAACAAAGCTCTCACCCGATGAGCTCAATGACCCCTAACAATGTACAGGGCTGCGGGTATCCACTGCGCTTTAGATATAGCTTCTGTCGTGCGCTTTTTTGTCGGAGAATTAATCTCATGTGAAGTTATGTCATAGTTCCACGTTCTGTGACGCTGCGAAGGAGCAGGTCTGACCGCGCATGCACTCATCTGCCTAAGTCTAGCATTTTCCAGTCGTTAAGTGCAGACGTTCAAGTTGACATTGTTCTGGTCTCTGTAACGACGCCGCTTGTGGGCAGCTCGCCAGCGATAGCGACACATGAAACGCTCCGCGGGCACAATGTTTACATTCGCAATTTTCTGTTTGGGCGAGCGTTTAGCATCGACTTAGCGTGCACACCTCAGGCTGGCTGTGAGCATCTGCGCATTGTTCCGTTTCTGCCGAGCTGGCGGTGTTTTACTGCGCGAGTCGGCGAACTGACTCAGCGCTTGTCTTCACTGATCGACAGCTCCAACGAGTCAGCAGCGCGGCTGTGTACTGTCGCGGGCTGTCTCCGAGGCGAGCGAAAACTAAACAAAAACATGCCTCTTTGCCACCAGAGGCCCATCCGGGAGACAGGAAGGGTTCTGCATCGGACAAACATATATGTACGACGCAGCGAGCAGTTGGTGTGAGAAAGCAATGTGGGCAATGAATGAAAAATAAGATATCGTTGGAACCGTCGCCTTGAATTCAGCCAAGCCCATTGCCTGCTGAACGCGGTGCGAACCGATCTCCGATACTGCCAATGTGTGGAGCGTGAACGGCACGAAAGGCCCGGCTCCAGACATTAGGGCTGGCGGTATGGGGGGCCCGGCTGCAGCCATGGGACTGACGGTATGGAATTCCCGGCTGCAGGCATGGAACTGACGGTATGGAATGCCCGGATCTGGACATGGGACTGACGGCGTCGGGGGCCCGGGTCCAGACATGGGACTGACGGTATGGAATGCCCGGCTGCAGGCATGGGACTGGCAGTATGGATTGCCCGGATCTGGACATGGGACTGACGGTGTCGGGGGCCCGGCTCTAGACATGGGACTGACAGTACAGAAAGGCCCGGCTGAAGGCATGGATGACGGTATGGAAGGCCCGGCTGAAGGCATGGGATGACGGTATGGAAGGCCCGGCTCCAGACTTGGGACTGACGGTATGGAAGGCCCGGGTCTAGAAATGGGACTGACGGTATGGAAGGCCCGGCTCCAGACATGGGACTGACGGTATAGAAGGTAGGACCCGGCTCCACAAATCGGACTGACGGTATGGAAGGCCCGGCTCCAGACATGGGACTGACAGGATGGAAGGCGCGGCTCCAGACATGGGGAACTGACGGTATGGAGGGCCTGGCTCTAGACATGGGACTGACGGAGCAGCAACAGAGTGGTCCATTCGACCAAGTCTGGAATGTGTCCACTCACCACCCAGACAACAAGCACAGGGAGCGTCGTGCACGTCTTTGTGAAGAGCTAGCGGCTACAGGCATCAACGTCCGGCGGGTTTCTAACCAGGGCTGCTGACCTGGATACAGAACGCCCCTCCCACACGCCCACGAATATGTTTTCCAACCAAGGCCTCTGATCTGGGTATAGAACGCTCTTCCACACGCACGATTACGTTTCTAACGAGGCCTCTGATCTGGACATAGAATACCCTCCACACGCACCAACACATTTCTAACCAGGACCCGCTGATCTGGATATCAAACGCCCCCCCCCCCCCCCCACACACACAAATACGTTTTCCGGATCAAGCCATACCTTCTTTTCGCATACCGGCCCGAAAGCATTTCTTCAGTCGACAATAGCGACAGTGGTTTCTTTTCTCTTTGTCCACCATGCAATTCCGGCTGTACCTGCGGGAGAACCGTGAAGGTAGTTGCATGCAATGTCATTGCACAGAATGCATCCATGCACCGACCGCCAGACGCGGAGAACTGATAAGGAAGCGAAGGTTTGGAATGGTTCACTTATCTTGTGGCGTACGCTCCACAAGCGAGCGCCAAATGTTCTCCGTACGTTGGTCGCAACCATATTGCGCAGTGTGCGATCGGCACTGGTCAGCGTCCCTGGTATTCCTCATATGCCCCGCAGTATCCAGCACAAAGATGATCAATATAAAACACAACAGGCACCGGAAATTTCGGTATCTTGATAAACTTCGGCAACTGCGAGCACGAGCCGCCCTGGAACTGCGGGCGAGCCAGAGCTCCTCCCGGCACCCACCTGCAGGTGTACTTCTGGTTTTTCCTGACCGACCGGCGGAAGAAGCCCTTGCAGCCGTCACACGAGATGGCGTTGTAGTGCTTGCCGGTGGCCTTGTCGTTGCAGATGGCGCACAAGTGACCGAGCATGGACGAATCCACAGGAGAGAGGGCGGGCGTCTGTTGCAGGTCCACCTCGGCTGTCAACGCGGGCGTCTCGTTGGCTCACAACCTCCAGCACAGCGAAAACACATTTTTCATGACGTGCTGAACGGCCTGCAATGGTGTGACGTCATGAAATGCCATATGTTTTGGGAAGAATGCGCATGTTTCTCGGGAAAAATAGGCGTCTAGAGGCATGTTTATATTACGTATTCACATTTGCCATTTTCTTGTATAAGGTCTTCCCAGCAGTTCAACGCTAAATTGTGCTAACGTGAAATAGCGTTTGATGACATTTGACGCCAATTCACAAGTGCCGCCTAATGCACAGCATTCATTTTACCAAACGGTTGGACGTCAGCATTCCTTAAATGGAATCTTACACATTTGAAGAAAATGAAGCATGCATCAAATATCACGAAATAAGCTCACCTATAACCAATGGTATACTTTTAAGCAGGAAAAGACTACTCTGGACAACATGCTTTTATATTTAGTAAATATGCTTATCAAATAAGTCAAAGTTCGGTTATCGAACCTTACACTACATTGATTGAGAGCCAGTTGACTTCCAGTCTATTTGGAAATCGTGCTCACGATCGCCAGATGTGAGCCACTTGTCAATTATATTTTTCTTGGACTCGGTCGCCGCATGGCTTATGGAGTGACGGGATTTGGGTAACGTTATTATGATGCCATGGATTCCTGGGTGACCTTAAACTATCTCGTACAGACTATTTTAATAAAAACACGCCGAACTCAAAATATTTCGTGCAGGCTATTTTGAGTCCGGTGTGCTGCTCAGAACCTAGAGGAGTTAGTTCTTAAGAAGGGCAGGGCTTTTAAGTGCGCCGAATTATCCTCTTTTTTTCTGGCCCGGCCTGGCTTTTTTCTGGCCTTTTTATATGCTTTTTCTAGGCCATTTCAGTCTGAAACCCCATACAAATGTGGAACAACCTCCTTAACACTAACGCTCTAAACGACATTGTGGCCCAAAATAAGCGTATCGGCCGATGCTCTAACGCTCGAAAAACTATCGGCAGAAGCTCTTAAAAATAGGTAAGCCGACGGCAAGACAGCTGGTAGATGCAACGGACGCTGCTTTTGCCGCTACTTTTGTCATGACTCATGCCAGACAGCATGGCTCATACGATACTGCAGTATACCCGATAACGGCGCGTCTACAGATACCGCACGATACACCAAGGTCGGATTTAAACACTTGTGCTTGCAATGGCCGCCTTATCTCACGCTGAGTCTCGGTGGCACGGAGGGGTGGGGGATGTGGAGGGGGCGGGGTGGGCGGGGCTTTCCGGGCTGTGCTGGCCGCACCTGACCTGGCATACCTGGCGCCGCGGTAGCCTCTCCCTCCAAACAGATCCACTTTCTCACCGGCGCGCGCCGCGTCGGCGTCCAAATTGCAACATCAGGACACCTCGGACAGCTGAGCGGCTGTACCCTTACCCTCCTTAGGCTCAGCTGACAGCACCGAGCTCATTCCACTGTTGTGTCCTCTTGCGTGTGGATCACGGCTGCCACGGTACGAATCAGCCCTCCTACCACTTGTAATCCCTGCGGCGATGGCTCGTGCACAAACCCTTCGCGACCAGCGCCAGCATGGCAGCTGTAGGTGCACTGGGGCGGCGGTCGGAATCGTTACCGTAGTGCAAACGCAAACATACCGTGTGATCAGCGTGGCTGGCGTCTTTCCACTGTCTTACTTAAACCTACACGCTCACCGCCTCATCCCTCGTTCTCGCAGAGCCTCGCCTCGCCGGGGTATGTGCCAGCCGTCAGTCATGAGTCAATTTGTCTCACCCGCTCGAGCAGCTGCAACCCCCGAGCACACGGCGGCGGGGTTCCGGGAGCCGTTCCTCGTGGTTTGCGACAGCCCGGCGTGGCTCTTATCTCGCTCCTTGATCTCATAGCTCCGAGATGGTTGTTCCGAGGCGGAAGAGCCAAACCAAAAAGAGCCGGAGTGACCATACCAAGCGTCAGACGAGGTGGGCCTGCGCAGCCTGCCTCCATCCGAGCGCGCCGCGAGGTCACGCACGCGCCTTGCGCCACGCGCCCCAGACCGGATCACGGCTCCGGACAGAGACCAGCCCCCGGGCGTGTGAGGACGACCACCCGCAGGCTCGGCCCAGGACCGCGTGGCCGGTGGCTGGCGCGCCGCGGCCCGCCGTGGCCTGCTGAGTACACACCGGCGGCCTCTGGCGACCTGTTCAAACACGACCGTCACGTGACCAGTGACCTTGTCGGCGGCGAGCGCGGCCTGCCAGATAGCGGCGCCCGGCGGCTTCCGAGCCGCGATATACGGGGCACGGGCGGGACCGGGGGGCCCGGCGTATCTCGTTGAGTGGTGCAGCATCTGACGAAGTGGGCGGCGCGAGGCTGCAGGGCAGGTGCACCGCTCAGGGGTGCTGCGCGCGGCAGGTGGGCATTACAAGCCGTTCGAGCGCTGTTTCGAAGTCGCCTTTTGCTACGAACGGGGGCTGATATGTCCCGACGTCCGTGAGTGGAAAAATATGTCGCCGCATGACTTGTCATTACGTAGGTATCCAACCAGTCGTGAGCAACGTTGTGGATATGAAGCCACTGCCGATGCACAGAATGGATACCCTTGTGCGCCACCAGTGGCGTGGAGGTGAAGACCATCGTATCTCAACTGTATATACCCTCACTGGCGGGGCGCCGCCGCCGGCAGGAATGTGTCCTGGACCACGTGGGCCGTCAATCCATCAGGCTGGCGAACACGTCTTATGGTGCGTGTGCATCTGTGTAAGTGTAGGGATTCAGTCACATGTCGCTGCATTCCCAGGTCCATGAACGCTTTGGCGGCTAAATGCTTGGGGATGACACGGATAACAACATTGCAGCCGACGGGTTATGCATTTCCATCCTGAAGGTTGTGCCGGTTGTCAGTCACACAAGCCGTGCTAGGCGGGGTTCATGTGATGCCTCCACATGAATCCCGAAACAAAACCTCCCCTATCCAGCGTTTTTCCAGAGGACATACTTCTGTCTTGGCTGCTGAGTGGCTGTTATCTGAGGTTATATCGCTCTCGATCACCACCCAAACCGCCGGGCTATTTTAGGCTAAACGCGTACGTTTGTTTATCACTGTTCGAGGCAGATGAAGGTCAGGAGATTTCATAGCGTTCGTACGGACCACTGCCCCAGGCAAAAGCGGAGGGCTGACAATAGTGACCACCCCTGTGTTTCAAAATAAGGCGGGTAGCTAGTTACGCCGTGTGAGATAGTAAGCACCGTCTGGGTTAGATGGAATGGGGTAACAATAATAGCTATAAACGGCAGCTCACCCGTTAACGCCAATTCCAATAACAACTTTAACCTGGTCCATTGTAGCTGTCTTTAAAACAATTTCAACGTCGTGCAACTATATACTCAAACGTGGCAATGGGCAAGAATACACATCTGCGTAGTTTGTATGACATGACCTTCCTCGGGTCACACGATAACGTCCGGCGTTCGAGATCGGCTTCGGAGAGGGTCGCATCGTCTTCTGTCCCGCCGACTGCTGGCGCACCTGAGCGCCAGACAGTTGGACGCCCATGATTGAGTTATAGACGGCACGTGCGTCGAACTGTGCAGCTGGTCTTAGGCTTTCGTCTGCTTCGCTTGCTGGGATCTGGCACCAACCATTAACAACGCCCTTTAAGGGAGTATTCCACATTTATATGGGGTTTTGAACTGAAATAGCTATCTTGAAGAGCTTTTGGAGCTGTCCACAATCCTGTTTTTCTTAAGTTCTAAGCCCCTCTAGCTTCTGGGTTACACGCCCGCGAAGATGGGAAAAGGTATATCGGGGAAAGTATTTCAAAGTCATCTCGGCATTCATGACGTCTTAGTAACGTCATTCAAATCCCGCTATTCCATGAGCCATGATGCGATCAAGGCCAACAAAAACTGAATTGCCGATAAGTTTACATCTGCGGTTCGCATGCACGATTTTCTGATATAACAGCCGTCAACTGGATCTCATTCAGGTACGGTGACGCAATCTAGCGATGACGCATTGAGGAGCAAATTTATTAAACAGAGAATTATGCTATCTAGATCAATCTTTTCCATTCAAAAAGTATACCAGTAGTTATAAGTGACGTTGCTTCATCATATTTGATGCTTACCTCAATATCTCCAAATAAGAAACGTTCCCTCTAAACGATTGGATACATGGGATGCGGTCACGAGCGCATAGTAGGTTCTTGACACGACCCATTACCAAGTTTAGTGTTCACTTTTCGCATCCTTCAGGTTCTGTTAGTCTCGTATCGCTGCCTCGCCACGTCGTGATGTGAACCTGGTTCTGTTCCTTGGTCCTCATCCTCTTACATTTTTAAAAAATTCGCGTTTTCTGTTTATCGAATGGGGGAGGTGACATTGCGGTGATAGTGCAATGTTGCAGGAAAACGTGTCTGTTACAACAGCTTGCAAACTTAACAATTCGTGCGGCATATGAGCCAAAGCACTTGAGTGTTTTGTTGCTGAAATCTGCTTGAGGCTGTGACCAGTGGTTGCAAAGATATGAGCTTTAAGAATGCTTGCCGCCCGGCCGGGCCGGGCATCTCAAGCTGACAGGGTTCTCATCGCCCAAGTAGGACTCGCTCGACGTCTGCAGCCACGAGTATAATCAGTCCCCTGAACACGTTTATCGCGGGATTAACCGATATCCGTGTGTGCCGAGTTAGGAGGGCTTTCATTGCGAACGCCGTGTTCATTGTTCGCCGACTGGTTACAGCTGTCCAGATGTTCGTGGTTTGCACAGTCTGCGTGTTTATGGTTGCTTGTCTGGCAAGCCGCCGTGTCGTGTCCGGGTGTCCCACTGGACCTGGGGCATTCAACACCGCTCAGAAACGTAACGGCTAATTATGGTTATGGTATTTATATAATATGTATTTATATAGTATGGTAATTATATAATAATAGGAATGGTTGCCGCCAATGTGGGTCAGGATATGTAAGGTCAAATGCTGGTTGATTAGTGCTAGGAGGAGGCGCGCGCATGAAACAACAG